AGCCACGAAATCGCAGCCTCCCTCTGCTGACGCAATCTCATTAGTATCAGCTAAAGAAACAGCCGTCAGCCCACCTGCAACTACCAAGGAAACGGCGCTCCATATCACAAACGATGCTACACCTCCTCCTGATTCTTCTTTCATCAAACACAGCGAGGACCCAATAAGTGTCACCAGCTCCCAGGTTGCAGTCCTCGACTCAGGAAACCCCTTGAACGATGAAATCACAGATGGTAATGAGAAGGTTCTCGAAGAACCTAATCTGGACAAAAGTGCCCCCATCGTATTTTAATTTAGATGCATCACACTCGATCTTCTTAAGAACGCAGCAAACACACACAAAAAGAGCGCCTTGGTGTCATTGGTATCGTCTCTCGGGTTAAAAAGCTCCAACAACGTCTCCGCTAGCAAAAAGAAGCTCTGTGACCTTCTCGAAACTTGCGAGAGCTCTGGCTCCAATAAAACAACAAAATTGACCACACACTATATAAACAAATTGGAGGACACTGTGATCAAATTTGAGCTTCTAGCAAACAACCTTCCCATGAGTACCTCTGCCAAAGAACGTAAAAAAGATTTGGTTACGTTCTGCATAAGTCGACAAGCAACAAGGCTAGTGTGGACTGCCTCCTTCATCAACCAGTGAATACGGCAAACGAAGCTGCACAGCTTAATGAAGACGTAGTCGCAACATACCACAATCTTGCGAATTCGGTTACTACGACCAAAAGCGGCAAACGCACCAGCAAGAAAAAATGGTTTGACCAAAGCTGCAAACATGCTAAAAGGGAAGCCAACAGAGCTGCAATAGAAATGCCAACAGTAACACACACAGCAACTTCCTTCGTGACCAGCACTTTCTCAGAAAAAGGAGTACCGAAAAATCAAGAGGACGAAAAAGGGGAAATTTCTGTACGAGATGAACTAGAAGATGAACGAATGTGGTGAGGTTAAACTTAACTGGGCAGCGCTCAAACGGCTACAGTACAAAAATGAGGAACCTCCTCTTTCACAAATTCTTCAACGATCTCTACAATCGAAAGTGTGGCGTGAACAATCACTCCAAGGATGATGGCACTTCTACTCCGACGTCCAATGATTCGCAGCCTATCAAGGAATTGGTCGATGGACTGAATCGCGACTTTACCTTACAGGAGATCAAAGATGCGACTAAAAAACTCCAAAACAATAAGAGTGTGTCCGATGACCTGATATCCAACGAGATGTTGAGAAACTCCAATGAGACACTTCAACTCGTTGTGGTAAAACTCTTTAATGCCTGCCTCCAGCATGGAACTTACACTTGGAACAACTCGATCACAACTCCCCTCCATAAAAAGGGTGACTGGCAAAACCCTGATAACTATCGGGCTATTACTATTGGGAGCTGTCTCGGCAAACTCTTCTCGAACCTTCTCCTTAAACGGCTGATCGAATTTAGAGAAACAGCCTGTCCGGACCGACCGTATCAACTTGGATTCGGGAGGGGAGCCCAATGTAACGACCACTTACTCACCTTGAATACCATTATTGAGAAATACACCAAGAAAGAGAAGAAACGACTTTTCGCCTGCTTTGTCGACTACCGCAAGGCTTTCGATAGCGTATGCAGGGAAGCACTCCTGTTCAAGCTGGGCAACATGGGCATAACAGGCAAATTCTTCGATTGCATCAGCCACATGTACAATAACTCTTCAACCCGAGTCAAGCTGATTCAAAAGTTGACGGATGTTACTCGTCTAAATTTCTTCGAAGTAGCGCCAAGCGCGCGCCACTTTCTTCTCGAAATGTTATGTCCGATGGCAAGAGCTACGAAGTAGCGCGCGCCGGGCCAAATCATTAACAATGGTCAAATTCAAAAGCTATCCGCAGCCATTGACGTCACCATCAACCATCAACCATCGGCACAGAACAAGGACATCCAATGTCCCCCGAGCTCTTCAAACTCTATATCCACGAGCTCTCTATCAGACTTGAACAAATCGAGGAATTGGATGTACCTTTATTAAACGGTGTAAATGTAAGTCACCTCCTATGGGCGGATGACTTCAGACTTGGTACTCTTTGTAGCGCGATGCGTTACTGTGCCGCGCCGCGCACTCAATGAGGCTTCTCACAGCGACGAGATGCGCTACTGTGCCGCGCCGAGCTGCCATGAATTGACATCGTCAATTAAGTTACTGTTAGCGCTGGATGCGGGCAGCTTACAGAAACTGCTCAATTGTGAATTGCTTGCATGACTATGCTGAAAAGTTGGAGCTGTCTGTGAATATCAACCAAACCAGCGTGATGGTCTTTAACACAAGCTCACGAATACTGAAATGTGCTTACTATATACTATATACGGCTTCAAACTAGGCAACTTGGACATCGCACCAGTCAGAAAATACTGCTATCTAGGAATCCAATTCTCCCTGAACGGTTCTTTCAGGCAGGCAATCGATAAAGAAAGCTCTTCGCTCATTCTTCTCTCTGAGACGAACTATTGACACGAGAGCCCTTACCACTAGCACGATGCTAAAACTCATTGATAGCTTAGTCAAGCCAGTGGTCACATATGGATGCCCTATTTGGCTGCCATCAACCAACATCGTGAAAGCCATCCTCTCGAAAAATCAAGAATGAAGAAGCGAGTCTTCCCGAAGCAGCAGCAAAAGATGCTTTTGAAACTACTCACTTGAAAATTCTTAAATGGATATTGGGTGTCGGCCACAAAAAGGCAAATAACAACTTCTGCAGTCTGCTACGGAGATACAGTTAGAAACCCCTGGACAGTAACCGTCCTCCCTCAATGTATTGCCTATTTCTGTAGAGCATCACAAGCGGTATATAGGTAACGTGAACACCCTCTTGCACCATACATTTCAAGAACAGAAACAACTGAACCTTACCTGGTATGTGGTATGATGCATGGTCTACTATCATCAAGACGAGCACTGTCGCTAAGCCACACCTACCCCACACCCTTGCGGCTCGTGAACACATATACGAAACATTTGTTAACCACTGGAAGAAGGATCTTCACAACTAGCCTAAAATGTCATTCTTGATTCTACACTGCGGTCAAAGCTGAGTTTGGTGAAAAACTATACTTACAGCTCCCATGCAGGGTCAAAACACAAAAGAGCTAACATTGCGAAACTTCGATCTAGCAGTCACGATCTGAGGATTGAGAAAGAACTACCATTCTTTGAAACACCTATCCTTGAAACCGAGGACCACGTCATAAATGAATGCCCCAGCTACAACTCCCTCCGGTCCAACCTTTCAGATAACCTTGAAAGCCTCATAATGCTCAAAGAATATGGGGCCATCATGAACTCATTCCATGCAACAGAATTTGGAAAGTACCTCACAGAATCCTTTCACCTTCGACATCCTCCTGAATAGAAGTCCTAGTAATCACCTCCCGTAGTCCCGTCTCCTACTCATCGTCATTAACTCATCTCCAAGAATTTTTAACTCGTATTTAAATTATTATATTCGATTTTTCTTTCGTGAAATTGTAAAGCGGTTAATCTTTAAGAATTTATTTTTATAGCATTCTCTCAATTTTTAGAGTTCTGATCGTCTTTAGGCTTTATGAATTGCTGTAAGTGTATTACCAAGACGGGTTCGTTAGTGTTCTCCTTGGTCATTTCATGTTTAATTCCCGTTTAATTTCTGTTTAAGGGGGGGGGGGGGACCTTTAATTCTGTCCCAAAACTTAAGGTCATGAGATAATTCTACGTTGATTCTGAAAATTTCATGAAAAAATATTGAAACCCTATTGAGTTCTATTGTTATGAGCGAAGTCAGTTTTGCAAATATCGCGAACTGAGATATGGGCGATTTTGTTCATTTTTTGTGATTATTTGAACTCAGAATCCACAGTTAGGTAGATATTGAGCTGATAATCATAGAGAATGTGTAGTTTAGGCTTACCTTTCATATAAAGTTAGTTTCATTCAAAAATATTGATATTTGACCAATTTATGGGCCAAAATCGATCAAATTTAGTGCGTATGCCCAAATATGGGCATATAGTTTTTAGCTCATAACTCAGCCATTTTTTGTCCAATCTTATTCATTAATAACAAGAATTGCGCCCGTTGTTTCGTTTTGGCGGACGCTAGATTTCCGTTCACTATAACTATAAATATAAGCTCCAATCAGCTCACTTCATAATAATAATATTGATACACATCAGTACACTATATTACACATGCCACGTACAAATTGGGCTTGGCCCGCTTATAACCTAATCATTAATTAATACTATACATTACACCGTTAAGTACATCGAAACACAGTCGCGCCGCGCATTCATTGACCACAGGCTATCTATACATCACATCTCCGCAAGCAATCCTCGTGCGCTGTACTGCGCGCTGGTTGTCATGGTAACGGACGGAAGGACAGATGACAACATATTCAGACCCGCCTACCGCTATCTCCAAAATCCACGTTTTTCTGCAAAAACGTCCATTCGTAACCTTTCACTATTGCCTTTTTACAAAAGGGTGAACGGAAAAAATTCATATACGAGTTCAGGGGACCACTAGCTACAAGTATAGCACCTAAAATCTGGGTTTTGGGCATGTTCAGGGTATTTGGCTAAATTGGGCCTGATTTGGACCAAATATGGGCGTGGCTGCCCCGCGGGCACCGTTTGGCGGTTGGGGTCCGGGACCCCCTCAAAAGTTTGGTCACTGGTCCTAGTTTGTTGGTCAACTTCTATCTCGAAACCAAGTTTCACAGAAAAATCAGGATGAACCCCCCCCCCCCCCCCCCCCCCCCCCTTAATTCCCGACAGCCATTATGGGTCGAGATGACGTGAGAGCAATCAACGTTATCTTTCTTGTATTGTGTTATTGGGGATGTTAATTGTTAATGTTCGTAGTCGGAGGGATAGCTATTCCGAATTCTTAATTTAAAACATCCAATTGATACGTTAAGATTCTGTCATTGGTCATGAGCATTGACTTTGAGCAATGTGCAATGAGAGAAGCGCAATTATTGCAAATTGATAATCCTTCTAGAAGCTGAACAATAAATCTGCATTTCAGTTTGCTACAAAGAAAACATCATCTCAATTCACATTAATTTGATTTAATTTCAAGCTTGACAAATAGCTTTAATATTACACATACTATCATTTTAGAGATGATGATAAATGCATATTTAAACATTATAGTAATACTCATATGCAGCCTAAGAAAAAACTCCTATCATTTACTAAACATTTGAAAATTGTCAACTCCGGAGAGCCGGCAGGGAACACGTCACATATAATGCGAGAAGCAAACAACCAATGGAAATGATCAAACAAAACCAATAATCAGTGCCCTTCGAAATGTAAAATATAATCAAATTCAATGGGAACATCTGGTAGGTCAATTCATCACAGTTTTAAAAAATTGACGCTATTTTCATGCTAGAAAGAAGACTCATCAGAATTTCTGCAAAGGCTGGCAAACTCTGGCTAACAATATCAATATCAATGAAATAGGTATGTTATGCATATCTGAGGTCTATCGTTAGTAATAGTATGATTTGATTAACGGAATAACTGAATTTAAGTTAAGCAATCAGCTTTATCATGTGGATTTGAAACGAAAACATAAAAAACAATTCAATAATGAATAATAAATTAAACGGTTTATTTGAAGTTAAGTTTAAGAAAAAAACATTAGTTTAACCCAAATTCGGTCACCTTCTTGGTGAAAAGCTTCTGGAGTCGCACTCCAGCTTTGTACGCTGGGGCTCGACTTTGATTGTAATGCTGACAGTTCAAAAATATCTGATTTACGTCTTCTATGAAAGTGTCTAACTTTCGGTATCTGTTTGATTTGAGCTTTTTCTCGACAGTGCTCAAGTCCATGGGGTTGGGTATAATTTTGTAATAATCTGGGATCTGCGCGCCATCCACAGGGTACAAAAATGGCCAGCCATTTTCGTCTTCTTGCATGATGTTCACAATTTGCTGACAGAGTTTTAGCTTGTCCGCTAACGGGACATTTTTAGAAGGCTGATTGGAGGTGGCGGCATTTTTTCGTTTGGATCTTGTTCGGGGAAGTTGCTCTCGTGACCCCTTGTTCTCATCCTCACTCCCCTCTTCATTTTCACTGTCTCCTTCTTCATCCTCATCCTCCTCCTCCTCCTCCTCGTCTTCCTCCTCACTGCTCACTTCAACAATTTTAACTTTCCTCGTTCTTGTCGTTCTAGTGTTTGGTTTACAGGCTGAACAGAACCATTTCCCAGGCGGAATAGATTTAAGCTTTGGTTTCATGCAATAGAGATGCTGGCCTCGGTCACAGCCATCACACAACAAGATCTTATCTGGATCGCTCTTACGACGACAAATTCTGCAGTTAGTTTTCAGGATGGATTTGCTCCACATGATACTGCTATCAAAAGTTGAGATGTGGAGCAGGATCTGGGAGAGACTGGTGCACGCAGCCAGACTCTCTCTCCACCGACTGATCTGATCAACTTCTCCCTCAATCTTGTAGCTCTGTGTTCCAGATTTGGCTCTTCCAACAGGATTATCTCCCAGAGGCAACGTCAAGTACTTAGCTGGGACACCTTTCTCAACAGATAGAATAGCTTGAGTGAGTTTGAGTATGATAGATCGTCTGCAAACGACCGTTGAACTGCCGGAGGTTAGGGACGAGGCATCGTCTTCCGTAGATTGGTTGGATTGCTGCGAAGCTCTTAAAGCCATCAGTCGCTGGTGAACAATTGGTTTTGGAATCTCGGGAACATCGCCTTCTGTGTTTTTACACTTGACGGAGTCGTCCAACCAGAAATCTTCAATCTCCTGCCGCCATGCCATCCTGTTTTTAACCTTCACCGAACCAAAGTTGGCCTCAAAAATTCTGTTTTCTAAATCACAGATCTGCTCACGGAGACTGGCTTCAATGAGTTTCTCGGAGGAAGTTTTCTTCAGAATCTGACGAGCAGTTTTCTGTTCCTCAGTCTCGTCCTCGTCCGGCGTCTGGTCACCACTATCCTCATTGGGATCACATCTCTGGAGAGGAGGTACTGTCTCGATATCATTTACAATCCTATTCAAATCGTTGTTGATGTTGTCGATGAGATCTTTTTCTCGTTCTCCTCGAGGGTTCATACATTTTACCAAGTCTCGTATTTCAGTATCAGTACGAAGGTGACACCACGAGGATTGGTCTCGAGTCAGCAGTTTAAATCCTGGTGTGGAGCAGAGTTTAGTGTATGTCACTGGTGTTTCACCGTGTTTCTGGGTTGCTTCGCGTAGCTTTAACTGAACAATTTCCTCCGTGCTCATAGAGACTGGGTCGATGATTGAAATTATATTTGGTTGCTTCGCTAAACCTCCTGCTGTCTTATCCCCTGGCACTGGTAATGAAGTTGTCTGATTTACGAAGTATTCCCCTTCATTGATAATATCCTCTTCTTTTATACCGTTAGTTTTCATGTCGTAGTGTAACTGTGAGGCTGATATTAGTTGATATTGCCCATTTAGCAGCTCCTTGGAGCTTGCATCTTTCTTCATAAGTCCATCTGGATACAAAGTGCGAATATCAAGGCTGCTCTCCTCTACAAAAATTCCAGGAACGCTGTGGAACGACCAGTATTTCCTGAAGTACCGGTCCATGCCTAGAGGGTTTACTTTCATTTTGCAGCTGATTTCTCGGAAAGCTATGTAAAAGTTGTGTTCTTGCAGTTCGTTTAACTTTCTCTCCTCTTCACGTTCCTCTGAAGTTTTGTCAGATGGTTTTGGCTCGTCTTCGTTCTCTGAAATGCAGTACACAGTATAATAGTGACTATAAATTGTATAGGTAATACCTAAAAAGTTTTGCCATTTAAAAAATAATCACAATAAATAAAGCACAAATTCGTTTAAAAAGCAAAAATTCAAAGCTGAGGCAAGAGTTGGCAAACATTTATAAACGATATTGATACAGCAGTCATGCAAAAACTAACCAGCTGCCATTGAAACATCAGTTTCAGTTTCAGCCATTGATCGATCACTCTCGAGCGAAGTGTCCGCATCTTTCCCTTGTAGCTCACTCAGCCGACCTTTTTTCTTCTTCTTCTTGTCTTCCTTTATCTTGATACGAGATGCTATCCATTCTCTGTATCTGATAGATGGGACATGTTTAAGATAACATCATAACATATCATAAGCCAAGTAACATTACAAATGTGTTGAATTTTAGTAACTTTTTTCCAGATATAGGAATTAATTAAGTTAGACTAAGTAAGGGATTAAACAGAGCTTATTTCAGTGTCATTACCAGTATACAAATACCTTGTAGCAGCTTCTTCCTTTTCTTTTTTCTGAATTTCAGATCCGAAACTTTTCCACTCTTTCTTAGCATCACGGGACCCATCCACAGCCTCCTCGATAATCTCTCGAAACTGTGGCAGAACGGGTTTAATTCTTTGAGAGGTCATCATTAGGACATTAGATGTAAGTTTCAATCGCAATCAGAATAAAACAGAATTTGTACATATCTTAGAAGTATTTAACACGATACAAATTACGACCCAAATTACAAATTAAATTTGGAGGCAAAAATACCTGCGCGAAAGTGAGAACTTCATTGATGAGCGTGGACAGTATAGTCAGTTTGCTGGCAGGCGGCAGATCGAACACATTGGATATTGTCAACATTCTCAGCAGACTCGGGTCCTGAATTAGATATTATCAAGATCTTATCGAACTTCACACTGGAGATATCCTAACAGCTGATCACTTTATTTTACGAGTATATGATGATCATGATCATTGATCATGATTATTATATACATGACATATGTCAGATGAAACATTATCGTTCTGTTCCTACCTAGCACCTATCAGTAAAGATAGAGATCATACTGAGGTACAGAATGATCATATGCATATTATGCCAAAAACTGAACCACTTTATAACTAGATAAGACAACTTACTCTATTTCTGATTTCTATACAGGGATCATCGTGATCAGAGAACATTCCCCGGTGGTTGAACCTCCACCTGCCGTAGTAATTAGCACCGTTAACTCTGCCACCAGCACCCAGAAGATGGAGCCTCAGCACTTCCGTCACCGTGTAGCTGTCCAGCTGGATCTTGTGAAGTGGTGTTCCCTGTGGAGTAGTTACGGTTATTAACCAGTTGGGCTGGTCTACAGAAGCAACCATCAACTTTATACATTTCTTGTGACGTGACAGACGGTCAAAACTTAGTTTCCAATGATAGAATACTTGGTTTCCTCAAAGTTAAACTCAGGCCGAGTAGCTCAAGCTTGCCTGTTACCCATTCGTCACATGATAAATATGAAGTCACGTGATCGCACCCCAGATCGTTGATTGTAAGGATACATACATAGATCCAAGATATGTTGAGTGAGTAGATATTATGGTTAACAAGGTGTGTTTGTTTACTGCGAAGATACAATACCATTGGGTACATACAGTACCGTTACCCACCATTATTATATTTTATTCGTTTTCTGTTCGTTAGGAAAGTTAAGATGGTGGTCAACCTTTCTATACGATTAAAAGTTGTTCACATTACAATACAATTTCTAAACTAATCTTTCTCTCATCACTAATATTTCATTCAGTTTCGCCAGGCAGGCAATGAACTCAACAGACTCCACCACTTATATACCAACGACCTACATCCTCCCCATCTTCTTCCAATATGATCCCCTTATCTATCTGACAATCGCAGTTTACATCATCATCCAGAACTCTATGGTAATATATCATTATTTCAAAGACCGGAAAAGATTGTCTTCTTTCCTAATTTCCTTTTCATTCTGATCGCTGTTGTGGACACTGGGAGTGCTTGTTCAGCAATAGCCCGGGTAGCAATGATACTTTCGTGCGTCAATAATCCATCTTTTACGATCGCAATCTGGGACCCCTTTTACAAGATTAATGGGTGTGCTTTAAAAGTTTGTCTAGTTTTAATTTTCTGTCTAGGCTTGGTTTTATCCGTCGTTGATATAAGTATTGACATAACGTCCTCGGATGTATTGATGTGTTATTTCGAATTTAAATTTGTTTTAGTATATGTATTTATTGTAGCCCTACCTGGTACTCGTACGCTTGCCAAACTAGTTAACTATGATTTTATGATTTATGCCCTAGTTGTCTTAGATTTATGTTTACCGTGTTTAATTGTGCTTGTCTGTGTGATTTTACAGATAGTTTACATCAGGAGAGCCTTCAGCCAAAGTTCAGACCCACGACAAAATATTGTAAACCATGCCACAATCACAGTCTTTATGATATCCTTGCTGTATCTATCCAGCATCTCGGTTTACTGTAGCTCGTTCTTTATACTTGATATGGAAGGCAAATTGTCAGTAGTGCTAATGATAGCACGGTTCACCCTAACACTGATGAATGCTGCACTGTTCCCAATCATTCTGATCCTTCGTAAGGCAGAGCTGAGAGCAACTTACAGAGGATACATATCAACAATTCTACTTCCACCAGTAACTGTCTTCTACAACATTCGTCACAGAGTGAGTGGGTACAGAACAATTTAGTACAGAACAGTCGAGCAATGATGACCATAAAACACGGAACTTTATCTAGAGAAAGAAGTCATAGTTCAGTGATTGATGAATCAATGACTTCAAGAAAAAGTACAAACAATTTTTAAACATTTTACTGATTACACGAGAAACTGGAAGCTTAATCACGTGTGACTGATGTTGTAATTTGAAAAGATAAAATTTAAATCTAATTCGATTTAGACCAAAACTTTTATTTCTTAATTAAATATGCGTGACAAACGGGGATGGTGACTTAAAAATTGAAATGCATGTTATCCAGTTCCCATCAAATGATCTGTACAAGTGACGAATTGAGAGGGAACTAAAACGGTGGGGTATTCTCTGTAGTCTTTTGATCGTATACTAAGGTGAACACTGGACTGGACATTTCACTTTTAGAATTCAACAGACAGAAAATAATCGTACATTTTACTGGTTGTTTTAATTACATCATGGACGATTGATGTTACGTCGTATCGTTTTCTTACCACTGGACACATAGTTTGTAACCTTCTTTGGACTTGGATGGCATCTGGCTTTGATTAGCGGGAGTAAGTTAGATAGTAATCGATCAGATCACCTTACTTGCTAGAATTAATTTATTTAACATGTGTGCTATTAGCGCGAAAAATATCATGCTTTTTCCATCTAAATCGTTCAGCGCGCGCGGCGTAATAAACTAAATAATTCACATTTAAGCCAGTCTCATCTTACTACGTCTTGCTTTAAATATATCGGTGACGAATCGAACCCAGAATCAAAATCTGACCCTAGGGCCCATACCAGTGCGAGCTACCAAAGCAAAGCTACCGACTATTTAGTGGCTGATGACGGATTCGTGGATAAAAACATAGAATACAGTTACCTCATGATTCAGTGTAGGGCGGGGTGTGTATTACCGATTACCTTTATGATTAGTATGTGATCACAGTAGGTACCACAGGGTATTCACACACAGGGTGTACGCTTATTATCCTAAATACCACATGCTTGATCGTACACTAAGGCCAGTAACACACATTACTCAGACTGCAAATCGAGTTTGACGTGTTATAGTTCAGGCTAATTTCACAAGGATCTGGGAGGGTGAAGTTACAGACAGGGTAATTGAATTGACCTTACACACGATGAGCACATTACACCTTCAAATCTCCCAAATGGGGCCTTGGGAAGCTTTGTTACATCTCTGTGGGTGGTTTGTCAAATTTAAGAATGATTACCTAACGTAGAGTATGAAACCAAATTCCTATCGTGATCACGACAAATTCGGATTCCTAAATTTTATGGCTAAGAGTACATTCCTCTCTTGCGATTTCTACCAACACAAAAAGTAACACCGCGCCGATCATGAAGCTCCTGAATTTCAAACATACCTCAACAACACATAACAGCCACATATTATAATACGGGTCATTCTGAAATTTTAGAATTAAAAGTTTGTTTCAAGAATAACTCACGAGATAGTAATCAGTGAAGTATAGAGCCTGAGCAGCTCCCATCCAGGGGAGGGTGTCGTCTTCTTTGGTTTCCACGGCGGTATGCCATGTGACACTGGGCAACATGGTCACCTGACTCAGGTCCAAGCTTGGCGCTGAGTAGGCGAAGTTATACCGCTGAAAGAGAATTAAGTTAACAGAAAATCAAATTTGATGTCAATAAATACAAGTTAATTCAATCAATATTGACCAATTTTATTCATTGTACACTATATCAAGTTTAACAGGGACAGCTAATATGAAAAATTTCCCGAATTTAAATTTCTATAATGTATAAAATTGCGCAATGGGACCAAATTGCGTTTGGCAAAGTAAAAGTTAAGAACCTGAGCTAATTTCTCCTCCTCCTCGTCTTCCTCCTCTAGTAAAGCAAAACAAAGCTTGAGGAGGAAATTAACCAGGTCTCCGAACATTCCTTCTTGTTTGTTGTTTATCAGCGACTTCTCCAATACTCCTGAAGATCATTTAATAATTGTGATTGTAGTTGGGATTTTCTGTGTGAGACTTATTAATAGAGTTGCTAGATACAGCTCAATGTGTTTATCACGCAATCAATAAAATGAATACCATTGATTTCTATAAAATTTTGAATTTCACTGGTCAGAGGAGGAAACAAAATTGTTGTTTTAGCTCCATTTTATCACAGAGACAAAATCCCACTTGAAAAATTACCCACCTATCTGAACTCCATTCGGAAACTCTTCCTCCAAGTCGACGTGATCGCCAAACAGATGAAAGAACTCAGATATTTGTATGACCTCGCCGAATAGTGAGACGGGCAGGGAAGTCTCTACAGGAGGAATGAGAGGTAGCTCCTTACTGTCAGTCAGAGACAAATCCTGAAGAAATAGTTTTAATATTAATAACGGATTCAGGGCGACTCCGACGGTATTTGTCAAAATTCTCGTGCCTGTGGACTTCCACGGAAAAAAGAAAATAATTAGCGTGGCGATGTCATTTATTACAGCGATTGAGGTTGACAGATGCTCGGTCTTTATTAAATTGTAATTCAGGATGATTCAGGGAAATTGTTTGTTAATTTTGGTGACTCGTTATTTGTACCGGGAGGCTGAGGTCTGATATTATTATCAACTATTAAAATAAGATTGGCACTTTAAAAATGACGCATGAGTAATTACAGTGCGTGTTGTGCATACAGCTGGTATACAATTTAATATATTGGAATTTATTCGAATATATGCTAATAAAAAATAAACCACTTGCACTACAAATTCTCCATTTCACAACAATAAAAGGTTTGATGTATATCGACTAATATGTCTTTAAACCGAGTTATGAGTGAACTGAGCGAGCAAACTAAAGACGTAGACATTTTTGTTTATTATTTTTACCTGAGCTTAACTGATAGTATCATTGAATGATATAGATATGGCCCAGCTATTCCCGTGGTGCACACCTGTAAAATGGCCACGGAATGTTTGATTCATAAGAGCTTTAAAAAACAAGGGTCGGATATCTGACTGCTTCTCTGACATCTGGTAGTCCTTCTTTCATGTCCTCCATCAGATGCGATAAAAAAGGAGCTCGTCAGCTTTGAAATGTTTCCAATGATCTACGCGAATCAAGTCTTTTTTGTGCAGTATCATTTGTCGCAAAAAATCAGAATAATCAGAAATTATTTGGAACTCCCAAAAACTGTCAAGTCTTTTTTTTATTTTATTTTATTTTTTTATTTTATTTTTCAATTTTAAAATTTTTTTGACATAGAGCTACTCGCCACTTTTGTCCAGGATCATTATAATATATAAAGCCGGACTTCTTGGAAAAGTGCTTGGTTGTGGGACACACTCAACTAAGTAAAGTTGAGACACCTCAAATCTCCCTAAAGAGATATCAACAGAGTGTGAGCCACTGCCTGACTAACCTGTGAATCAAGTCTTTTTCAACAGAAAACTAAATATTAGTTTCATAATAAACATGAGTGTCCAGCTCAAAAAGTTGATCGATTATTCTACAAGTTATGAGCAGCAGGGGTGGGGTGTTGTCTGCTCCCCCTGTGGCACCTACAGCTGGCTCTACTAGACCAGCTCTGCTTTCAACTGATCGATAAGAACCGTTATCTTGAGATAAACCCCTGAAGATATTCCGCACGAAGTTCCTGAAATCGTTAAGACGCCAATAATATATAATGGGGTTTAGTGTTGCGTTGAGGGTAATTGTTAGCAGGTAAACCAGGCTTGGCAGGTACGGCAAGTTCCACGGGGACCCTAACACTTCTGCAATCGTGTACCCACTGAAAATCCTTATTCTTGTCCACAAAATGTACACTGCCAAGGGAGCTTGCAAGAAAAGGTAGAGGGCCATGAAGGAGGACATTGTGATGATGGCACTACCGTGGAAATGGGGCCGGTGCCGACCCCCTCCCCGTATCTGGTATTTCTTAATGTTCTTTTTTTGTTGAATAACCATGTAGGAGCTGATTAAGTAGCAGGACAATATGATGGGGAACGGGAGAAGGTAAGACAGAAAAGGGACGTAGGAAAGGCACAAGGACCTCAGGGAGAGAGGACCCATGTTTGTTAGGACTAGGTCAGGAACACAGGCTCCAATTGCTTCAACATAGCTGTATTTTTCTCCAAACATGAAGGGGAGCGATTCTATCGACAGCAAAATGATTGCACTAACAATTATTATGATCTCCATCACAGTCATATTCAAAAGAGAACGGTTGTAAATGTTGACAACCCGCATTAAACTGCTGACGGAGACGATATTGACTGACATTTTAGCGACGAAGCTCCACAGAAATCCCCAAACTTGACAAAATGTCGTATTTGAAAAAGCAGCAGGCCGTCTTCCGTCAAAAAAGGACAGTGCTATGAAGAGAGCGAGAAAACAGATCAATATGTCGATGCACGCAGCAGCTTTCAAGACAACTTTAAATTTAAAGTTGGTAGTTCTGTTTGACGAAAAGAAGAAAGCTGTGATATTGAATGTTATCCCAAGTATGCTGCAACTAATGAACAGTCCTCCTAACACGTTTAGAAAAACTCTGTCAATCTCAGGGTCAATAGATTGTCTTATCTCCTCCCATATGCTGTTCATGCTGAAGGGGTGTGTCTCATAAGTCATATGTAATGAGTGATTCATTGGGAATGTTGAACTCTATATTATATGTACATTATAGAATACTAGAAAACCCGTGGTCACAGGGAGGAACCTAATAGTATTCTTTGGAAGTCAGTTTTAATCGTGTCAAAAAGTATTGATCCCCACCGAAGATACAGCCAAATAAAATGTTGCTCGTACTAAACACAGCGTTATATAAACAAAACCGATTAAAATGACGTTAAAACATTCATTGCACGTGCACGTGCGTGTAACAATCCTCGTTACTATGGTTATTGGTTACTACGCAACTTCCTATTTCTCGTCTGATTTGCACGTGGGCGGTCGTACAGTGTACAGTGTACAGAAATAATTCTCTGAATTATAAGTAAGACTAGAAAACCCGTGGTCACAGGGAGGAAGCTAATAGTACTTTTTGTTAGTAAGTTTAGATCGCGTCAAAAAATATCCTGCACCACCGAAGATACAGCCAATTAAAATGTTGCTCGTACTAAACACAGCGTAATATCATCAAAATGACGTCAAAACAATCATTGCACGTGCACGTGCGTGTAACAATCCTCGTTACCATGGTTACTACGCAAGTTCATATTTTTCGTCTGATTTGCACGTGGGCGGTCGTACAGTGTACATTGTACAAAAACAATTCTCTGAATTATAGTAGAGATGGATAAGATATCACGATGAGTTGATAACAAATTGAAGATCAAACAATTTCCATTGACATCCATATTTATTTTAAAACCAGGTGCGCTTCGCAAGAACCCCTTACTACTTTAATCGCACAAATTAATGCTTAACCAAAACCGAATCTTAGAACTAACCACCTCAGTAAAAGAAGTTGTAATGAGCCACTTTGTCAACTATTAGATTGCCTTTATATCAATTATAGTCGGCACATTGTGCCGATCATGCCGGTCGTGCCGGTCACGTGATGCACCAGTAATCAGAACTTTGATGATTGTGCCGGTCACAATCATCAAAGTTCTGATTACTGGTGCATCACGTGACCGGAACGTGACCAGATTATGTTAAACTATTGCAATTTTTTCATATCAAAGTAATTGGAACGTTTCACAAAAATCGATCTTATATCCTTATACTGACGTCGAGAAAGGTACGTGTCCTAAATCTATTAAATCTATTAAATAATAACCTTGCATATTACCAGCTTACCAGTCCTTAACACGTTGCTCTAATCTTAAGTTAAAATTGTGTACAGGTATCAATTTGGCCATTTCAACTAATATAATAATTAATATGCCCTTTATTTGTTGAGAACCTAAAAACATCTTCTCTTAAACTTAAAGCTTTCATCCGCTTCATCTCAAAGTTGAAACACAACTTTTAAAAGGTTGCTCTTAGCTCTTTCAAGATGTTAACAGTAAACAATTTCGTGACGTGCAGTCATGGTCAACCTCATATCTCAGTTGTGGAGCACTCAATCAAAAATCGCTACGTATTAATGCTTATGATCATACAAAGTTACAACAAAGTCTTCATGTTATTTATGGTTTTAGGGCTTTGAAGAACAAACCTCAATTTGGGGACCACCCTGAGCTGTGGGGACCACCCTGAGCTGTGGGGACCACCCTGAGCTGTGGGAACCACCCTGAGCTGTGGGGACCACCCTGAGCTGTGGGAACCACCCTGAGCTGTGGGGACCACCCTGAGCTGTGGGGACCACCCTGAGCTGTGGGGACCACCCTGAGCTGTGGGGACCACCCTGAGCTGAAGGGACCAAATATGATCAACCCACTCACCGCTCAAGAGAGCAAAAAATATACCTATACATGTATAATGTGTATATAACATATATATATATTTTGTAAAAGTTTCAAATAAAATCATATGTTCAACTCGCCACACTCGATAGTGTAAACGCAATATCTAGTCCTAGCTAGCACTAGACATTACAACCAGTAGCTTTTTAGAGTAAAAGCAATAAATTTACGAAATATGCATAAAATTGAACTGGTTTGGCGAGAGCTCCGAATTTTATTTACAAATTGAAAACACAACCATACATGATACAGCAACCATTGCAATATGTTTCAGTGCGGTTTGGTTTGGTATGCAAATTTCAATAAAAATACAACGCGCTAGCTATATTTTACTACTTTTTTAGTGATTGGTACAGGGACGTGAGACGTGGTCTTTGATAGTATGATCCAGATCGTAAATTAATTACAACACTACAAATCTATTACATTTATTGAGAATTATGTAATGTAACGTGATGGAAATATTTTAAACTGTCCAAACCCAGAATGCACTACATGAAGAATTCGTTGTAACTTTGTTAATAGAACCTCACATCCCGATATAATTATAAATAACGAGCCTGACAAGCTCGCTTGACATCAGGGACCCATTTATAGTACGGTGCAGACTGCAGTAGCTGGCCGTCCAGCTAGAGTAAGGACGAAAGAGATTCCCAGACAAACGGAGGGTAATGGGACTGTTATACAGTCGTTTTCTGCATTCTTGATGGGCCCAGTCTGACAGTAGTAACTAGTAAAGTGAACCAATAAAACACACCCTGCATGCTCTGTTAAATACACTGCTATAACAAAGGGAAAATAGGGCCGAGCAGAAATAACATGAGACAGAAACAACGTCAAGCTCCGACACTTTAAATGACTTAAAAAGTACTCAAATTAAGTAAGTAAAAACAAAGCGCGAATACGTCAAATTTCACGTGAATTGTAACTTCCTTTTACCTGAGAATATTTCAGAGCATGTGTCG